CCTGCACTCCAGTCTGGGCGACAGAGTGAGATTCCAACTCAAAATATATATATATATATATATATTACAGATTTTCAGTTGGAACACGTGTATCATGACCTTTTAGAAGCTTAAATTGGTAGCCTCGATAGGTTTTACCCTTGGTGAAACAGTTAAATCCTAATTTTTTAAAGCAATACCTAACTGCCTACATTATTGGGCACAAACAAATCGTCAAAGAAATTAAGCAATAAGTATTTACACAGGTATCTCTTGGTTCTATTTGATGTCATGCAAAGGAAAGTGTTAAAAGCTCAACCAAATATGACCCTGACATTCCTCTTGCAAAACTAGAAGTTGTAATCAGGCACCCTCACTAACTTTTCTTTATTTCTATATGTTTAAGTACACAAGTCATTATTTTGACAGAAATTCTTAAAATATGAGCATAGCCCAAAAAGGCCTAAAATAATCTTTATTTATGTAATTCAAACCACTTTATTCTCCCTTGTGATATCTTTGCTTAATAATTATTGTATACAGATAGATATTTTATTTATGTTTATCCTGAATATTGCAGCTTCAGATCATTTTCTCATATTAGCCACTTCTCAAACTTTCTAGGGACCCAGTGGTGAATAGGCTTTGAAAAGAAAAATACTGGTACTTTAAATTATTTTTGTATATAAATGTCAAATAATAGCAGCAAAACTTTTACCTACCTACTTCAAAGACTATGCTTTTTGTGAACTGATTTTCTTTCTTACATATTTTCTGTTTCTCCTTGTCATATCTCTCTACGTCCAGAACCAGCAACTTGTGAACTGCATTAGACGTTAGACTGTAAAATCATTATAAAGCACACAACACCTGAGTCTTCTGGGTTTTGTTGTTAGCAGTAAATCATTATAAACATTTCCATAGAGCATTAGCTACTATTAAAGGATAAGACTTTAAAATCTTTGTTTATAAAGATTTTAAAATCTTTTTTTGGTAAAGGTTTTGAGAAAAGAAGGGAGTTCTCTGTTACTTTCTCTGTTACTTTAAGAGGCCTGATGTGGATGATAATAATACTTAAAATGTGAAAGATTGTATATTGCTTTACCATTTGCAAAGAACTTGTCAAATTTATTATTTCATTGATCCTCATAATTTTGAAAAAAGAGGAATAGGTATTATCTTCTTATTCCAAACATGGATACTGAGGCTTAGGTAAGTGTTAAGCACCTGAAATTTTGACTCGCAAAGTTCTTTCCTTTTTAGATACACCCTACTTGTAGTGCCTTATATGTGAAACTGAACTGGGATGGGAGGAATGAGGGGGAAAAGAAACCAGGACTATTTTTTGGAGTGTGAGCCCCTTGTAGTCCAGGATTCCCCTGCTAGGTAAGTGTTCTAGGAACCCGTCAACTTTAGCATACCGACTAGCATTTTTGTGAGAGGCTGTATTCAGCTTCAGTAAAATTTTTTTGAGATTCTTTCAAAGCATACATCATGATGGGTGATGTATGAATGAATACACCTGCCCAACCACTCTGAGTATACTGCAGCTTTTGACCAAAAATGGCATGACCCCCATGCCCCGTCCTCCATATTTACCCAATCTTTCCCTGAGTGACTTTTTTTGTTTCCCTAATGAAAAAAACCCTCAAAACATTTTGCCGATGTGAAAGAGGTGAAGCAAAAAATAGCAGAAGCACTAAAACACATCAGAATTGATGTGTTCAAAAACTTTTGAGCAGTGGAAAAAGCATCTTGATAGGTGTATTTCATCAAATGGAGAGTACTTTGAAGGTGACTGATGTTTAAACATGTAAGAATAAATATGTAATTTTTTAAATAAATAAATTCCAGATTTTGGGGCCCCCCTTGTATAATGTTTTCCAAAGTGAAATAAGTTACCTTGGGAGCATTTGCTATTTCTTTATTCAGTGTTACTTGTCAAGAAATGCAAGTAATTCTTTATTGACTCATAAATAGTTTGTTCACTTGTGTTCCAAACACTATGTTAGACAATGTGAACAAAAAAGTTAAAAAGACCTTTCCATTTCTCATTTATAATCTAAATTATTTATTATAAAAAGCACTTTATAACTTATCTAACAGAAGCCTGAACCAGGTATTATAGGAGCTAAGAATAACAAGTAATAGAATTATGAATATAGCAGGGGGAAAACATGAAATTTGAAGCAAAGCACCAAGGTTCCAGTGTCCCTCAGCTCTTGCAATTCGTGTGTTTCCTTGAGTACCTGGGCAATCTCTGAGTCTTTTTTTGTTTTGTTTTGTTTTGTTTTTTTGTTTTGAGTCAGAGTCTCATTCTATCATCCAGGCTGGAGGATGGTGGCTTAATCATGGTGCACCACAGCTGTAACCTCCTGGGCTCAGGCAATCCTTCCACCTGAGCCTCCAGAGTAACTGGGACTACAGGTACATACCACCACACCTAGCTAATTTTTTAATGTTTTTTTATTTTTATAGAGATGGAGTCTCGCTGTGTTGCCTAGGCTGGTTTTGAACTCATAGGCTCAAGCAATCCTCTCACCTCAGCCTCTCAAAGTGCTAGGATTACAGGCGTGATTCTCTGTGCCTGGCTCCCTTTTCTTATCTATAAAGTTGATATAAAACTAATACCTATTTCATGGAGTATTGTAAGGATCATCATAATAAGATACGGTATAAATGTTTGCAATTGCAGTCATGAGGTACTTAGCAGTGGGGATAAGTTTTGAAAAATGTGCCGTTCAGCAATTTCAGCATTGTGCAAACAAAATCATAGTGTGTGTTTGCACAAACCCAGATGATTTGTATATATTTATATTTTTATATGAAAATTCAAGTGTCCCAGTACCATTACTGAATATCAGTTATTTCTCCAACTTGATCTGCAGTGCCAATATCAAGTGCCTTGTATCAGGTTTCTATATATGTTTCATTATTGTCTTATGGAACCACTATCTTTTACCAAAATGTCCTTATCTAGCATATAACTGTATTTTCAAAAATTGCTTTTGCAGCTATTAAAGCATTTAATTTCTTTAAAATTGTTTCTTCCTATACTTTTGGCTTTTCCAGATATGTAAATAGAAGTATACAGTATATAGCCTTTTGTGTCTGGCTTCTTTCACTTAGTATAACGATTTTGAGATTCATCCTGGGTATGTTTGTAGTTTGTTCCTTACCAATGCTTAATGGTATTACACTATGGGGATCTACTACAATTTGTTTATCCATTCACTAGTTGATGAACATTTGGATTGTTTTCAGGTTTTGGCTGTTTTGAATAAAGCATCAAGAAACATTCATGTACAGGTTTTTGAGTGGACATAGTTTCATTTCTCTTGGGTTAATACCCAGGATTGGTATTGTTGAACCATATGGTAAATTTGTGTTTAGCTTTATAAGAAATTGCCAAACTATTTTCCAACATGTTTATAGTACTTTGTGTTCTCACCAGCAATGTTCTGCATCCCTGGTAGTACTTAGTATGGTCAAGTTTTGTTGTGTAGTGGTATCTTACTGTGGTTTTAATTTGCAGTTTTCCATTGTCTAATGACGTTGAGCATTTTTTTATGTGTTTATTTTCTAACTATATCTTTTCTTTGGTGAAATGTCTGTTCAAATTTTTTCTTCGTGTTTTAAATTTGGGTTGTTTTCTTGTTAAGCTTTGAGAGTTCTTTGTAAATTCTGTATACAAATTCTTTATCATAAATATGCACTGAAGATATTTTCTCCCAGCTGTAATTTCTCTTATATTTTTAATAATATCTTCCAAAAATAAAAGTTTTAATTCTTTCTTTATAGATTGGCCATTTTTGTTTACTGTCTCGAAAATTATTTCCTAAACTGATCTCAGAATGATTTTTTTGTTGTCTTCTAGAAGTTCTATAGTTTTAAGTTTTACATTTACATCTATGTCTTTTGTGAGTTCATTTTTTACATATGGTGTGAGGTATGATTTGAAGTTAATCTTTTATTCATGTGAATGTTCAGTTGTTTCAATGTTTGTTGAAAAGATGATGCCTTTCTCGTTGAATTACCTTGGCACCTTTGTTGAAAATCAATTTACATATTTTAGTGACTGTTTCTGTACACTATTCTGTTTCATAGCTGTATGGCTGTCATTTTGCCAGTACCACACAG